GGGCACGTTACCGAGGGTGGGTGCTGGCGGCAGACGTCATGGGGGTGTGGAGTTGGGGGTCTAGTGGTTGGCACTGGACATAACCAGGGGGTGGGGTTTGCATGGTACCTCTGTGCGGTGCCCCGCCCAGCTCACTGATGTCACTAATTGACAAGAGCTGGACGGGATGCCAGCCAGAGCGTCCCACTCAGCTGCTGGCAACCAGTGACATCAGGGACACTTTGGCAGGAAAAGGGCACGCTCCAAGCTCGCTCCCGGGATGCACTACAATCTCACATTTAGTTTACTAATTTGTATTGAGATTGTAGTCCATCCCGGGGGGGGGCGGAGCTTGGAGCGATGACTACTCTACAACACACACAGGGACCATGGGGAACAGACGTAGCCCCCCCTCCAGAAGGAAGGACAGTGTCAGGGATGATTGGAGAATCTGCAGCCGAGTGATACACAAATAAGATACATTGTTGTTCGGAGTTCAGGGACTGGGATGGATTTTTAAGATTTAACCCCTGAGTGTAGTGTCACTTTAAATAAATACAATGTAGCATATGCAGTCTGACAAGAAAGCTGTAGACAAATGTGATTGTGAACATAATGCTGACATGACCCTTAGAAAAGCTTTTATTGATCTTTATTACTTTAGTGATCCTGCACCATGTCCTTCTATCCGCGGGGATCTGTACAATCCTGTCCTAAACCTGGACCGCCTCAAAGTGCCGCTTCTTAGACCTGCAGACAAGATGGAATCTGCTGCCACCCAGATCCACCAACGTGGCTTCAGGAACATGGCTGTCCCGCCACACGTAGCAGATCGCATGAATCCGGGACAAAGGCCGGGTCATTACAAGGTGTGGGGGGAATGGACAAAATTCTAGACTATATAATAGCTAAATCATCTATGGGGCTGGAGTCTGAGTTCCTGAACGATTGCTGATACAATACTTCACAATGGTGCATTAAATGTGTAAATAAAAGTGTGTTTTTTCCAGTTTTGGGATGCTTGTGTTTATTTTTATGGACCAAGAAAAAAAAAGTGGCTGTAGCCCTGCCATCGTAGCTATTTTCTTGCTGCATATGAACATACACTGAGTGGCCGGATTATTATATACACCGAGTGGCCGGATTATTATATACACCGAGTGGCCGGATTATTATATACACCGAGTGGCCGGATTATTATATACACCGAGTGGCCGGATTATTATATACACCGAGTGGCCGGATTATTAAACTACAGGTTACATGGCTCTACAGCAGAATTTCCTTGGCTTCCCCATTCAGTGACCTCTTGCTATTACACAAGGTGCTTTGCATTGGTGGCCGGTGGCCTATCCCAGTAATTGTGCACCTGATATATTAATTGGCACGGACTCATTGCACTCCTAATAATATTGATTCTTATAAACCAGTTGGCTTTCGTTACCAGCCCACCCAGTCCAGTCAGTTCTAACAGTGCATTAAATGAGTGGGGGCATTGGTATCCCACCTGAAGGTGGGCCCCTGTGATACCAGCAGTATGTGAAGTAAAGGGAAGAAAGCTCTCAGTCACATTGGTATCAGCAAGTAGCCAATGCATTTCGGGTTTTTGGTCCTTTTTCATCAGTGTTTAATAAAGATACAATGTGCTGTACAATTTCGGGGTATTTACTACCACAAAACACATCCAAGGCCATCTATAAGCCACACCTGTGCCTATCTGTGGGCACATTAGAGTGTAAGCTCTTGGGCTGCAGAGAATGACGTAGGTGTCAGATGTATTAGCATTATGAAATAAAAAAAAAAAGCAAAGGAGGCCACTGTGTTAATAAAGGATAAAAATACAGTTTATTTTTTACTAATCTGCAGCAACAGCTCCTCAGTTCAGTGCGCGCCGACCTCTTCCTCCTACAATGAAAAAAACAAAAGTGAAATATCCGCCAATCATTTTATTTTATTGTTAAATGCTCAAACATACTAATGACACATTTCTCAGAAGCAAGACTCGGCCCACGTTACCTCATTTATAATAGGAAAGCACCGATACTGGTCAATCAGCATAGAGCTGGCTTCTCGGCCAATTAGGAACCTGGGTGGCGGGTCATCATCCCGGCTTCCTGATTGGCCGGGAAGCTGGCTCCATGTTCCCTGGCGGAGCCCATGGGCAAGTACAAATACTTGCTGAAATACTTGGCTTGGTACCGGCACCTATATTGGCACTAGCATCGGCATTGGTGCATCCCGAATTTATAATAATTAAATTCCACGTACATTTTGCTGATTCATGTGTTTGTGGTGCGATATCAGAGACTGCACGGTCAATGACAGCTGCAGATCTAAGACTAACCACCAATCAGCACGAATCCCAATCATGTGATCACCATAAAAGCCAATCATGCTTCTAACATACAGCCCTAGAGGTTTACAAACGTCTGCAGCCTGAAGAAGGTGCTCTCTCTCTCTCTCCTATATCTTCTCTCTCTCTTCTATATCTCCCCCCCCTCTCTCTCTCTCTCCTATATCTCCCCCCCCTCTCTCCTATATCTTCTCTCTCTCTTCTATATCTCCCCCCCCTCTCTCTCTCTCTCCTATATCTCCCCCCCCTCTCTCCTATATCTTCTCTCTCTCTTCTATATCTCCCCCCCCTCTCTCTCTCTCTCCTATATCTCCCCCCCTCTCTCCTCCATCTTCTCTCTCTCTTCTATATCCCCCTCTCTCTCTCTCTCTCCTATATCCCCCCCCTCTCTCTCTCTCTCTCCTATATCCCCCCCCTCTCTCTCTCTCTCTCCTATATCCCCCCCCTCTCTCTCTCTCTCTCCTATATCCCCCCCCTCTCTCTCTCTCTCTCCTATATCCCCCCCCTCTCTCTCTCTCTCTCCTATATCCCCCCCCTCTCTCTCTCTCTCTCCTATATCCCCCCCCTCTCTCTCTCTCTCTCCTATATCCCCCCCCTCTCTCTCTCTCTCTCCTATATCCCCCCCCTCTCTCTCTCTCTCTCCTATATCCCCCCCCCCTCTCTCTCTCTCTCCTATATCTCCCCCCCCCCTCTCTCCTATTCTCTCTCTCTCCTATATCTCTCCTCTCTCTCTCTCTCCTATATCCTCTCTCTCTCTTCTATATCCCCTCTGTCCTCTCTCTCTTCTATATCCCCCCTCTTTCGCATTTTTGTCTAGGGGGTCTATTTATAAACAATTCACAGAGCCCTTCACCCTGCATATATCTGTGAACATTTTTTGTGTGAAATTAATAGGAAAAACAAATGTTCTTTATATGTTTTAATTTCAGGTTGAATGTATCGCGGTGTAATGCCGCATTATGGACAGTAGATGGAGCTGAGGAGTTTAGAAAATAAATACTTGTCTCCTCAACTCCATCTAGTGGCCATAATTCAGCATTACATCGCAATACATTTGGCCTGAAAAGAAAATACATTGAGAACATTCCTTTTTTGCCCGATATTAGCACAAAACAAACATTTACAGATATTCACAGGGTGAAGGGCTCTGTGGATTGTTTATAAATAGACCCCCAAGTGTCAAATATAGGCAGGGTATCGATTATTTCCTTGCAAACCTGATTTAGGTTGACAAGTCATAGAGCTATTGTCAAATTAACCGACGCCAACTAACGCTGATTAATTTGTTCTGGGCATCCAGACATCAATGATCTCCAGTCATGATAAGGTTAATACCTGTGTACCCCAAGCTTTACCCCCTGTGCACCCCCTGTGGTTCAGCAGCTTTGGGTCCACGCCTGTGGATGAACCATCTGGAATATTCTGATGACGCCCCGTTAATACTGAAAAGGATGCTGGGACAGCTCTGGGCTGCCTACCTCTAAGACTGAGGAGTGGAGGGGATCCTTCAAATCTTCCGGAAAGTCTGGAAGTGGCATCTGGAATCCGACCTTACCCTTCAGCCAATACGTCTTCTGCTTCCCTTTCCCCTGGGAATAGAATCAGGATCTCAGTGCACGTGCGAATATGCAAAAACCTTTCTTTAGTTTTAGATAAAAGTGTGGAAGGGTCACAAAACGATATGTCCCTGCTGGGGGGGCAAAGGGGGGGGGGGGCCCCCCTCTCTATCTAAGTTATCTTTGTCACCGGGAGAGAAAGTGATGACAAATCCAAAATATAACAGTTATTGGAACCGTAATAGAGTGGAATTCTTCTGAAGGGGACATCTGAGTGACAACTGTCTATGCAATGGCTCCGCGCTTGTGCACGTATTGTGAACGAGTGTCAGAGCGCGCATGTTTAATGCGCGATCACGTGTGAACGGGGACCTAATTAGTTAAAGGAGAACTATGAGATGAGTGATTTTCACTCCTCCTCATAGTTCGAGCCGACGTGTGACAATGAAACTGTCACACGTCAGCTCAATAGATCGGGAAGTGAGCAAACCCATACCGTCGCTCGCTCACTTCTCGATCTATCCGTGCAGAGAGCGGTGACTGTCACTCACAGCTCTCTGCAGGGATTCCCCCCCTCCCCGCTCCGATCCTCCAGAGCTGACTGGCGGAACGGACGGGTACAGCTGGCTCTGCCTCTAGATAGGCAGAGCCAGCTGTCAATCACGCAGCTGGGTGGATCTCGACAGTAATTTCGGGATCGGTCCCGGCTGCGGCGGTCTCAGTATGTAGGGAGTTGTAGCTCGCGATATACTGAGCTTTGTGTCACGGGAGGATGCTGGTTTATGAGGAGAACTATGGAGAAAAACACTGACCCCGTAGTTCTCCTTTAAATACATTCCAGCTGCATCAAAACAGAACAAATTCAAAGTCTTACAGTGTGTTTTCTTTAGAAAGCAGCCACAGCCTAAGTAAAAGAGGCTGACCCCTGCCAGCATGCTGCAGAAAAGGACCCTTGCTCTGTGTGTGGAAGCAGCTATCTCTCTGCAGAGGTCGGGCACACCCCCTGCTGAGTCACAGTTAGTTCCCTCCAATCATCAGTAGGTAGTGTGTTGAACGTCTGCAGTGAGACCACCGCTTCCCCACAGAGAACAAGGCTCCTTCTATGCAGCATGCTGGCATAGGGTCAGGCTTATGTACTGCTTTCTACAGAAAACCAATAATAATTATGCAGGTTTTGCAAGGACAGCATAAAGTGGACAATTGTAGTGCATACAGAAGCAAAGTCTGCACTAGGAATGGGGCGGGGGTGCGGTCATACCTTTATCTGGATGAATCCCCGTTCCTTCATATCATATCCTCCGATCTCATTCAGGGCACTGGCTGTTGTTTCAGAAACATGGATCCTCAGAGCTGCCAGAGATGAACATATAGAACATGAGTGAAGAAAGACATATGGATGAGTCTTCTCCTGGGATCTAATGAATGGAAGGGCCCCCCCAGGGGGCATCTAAACCTTAGTGGTAGAATGTGACTCACGAGTCGGGAAACACTGAAACTGGACAAATCACTCAGACCAGAGTTTACCTACGTAGACTGTTGCTCTCCATCCTTGATGCCATGTTAACCGTGTCCCCAAACAGGCAGTACCTGGGCATGGTCACACCCACCACACCAGCCACCACGGGACCTGTAATCAGCAGGAGGCAGAGAGGAGCATGTAAGATAACGCAAGACACAAAATGCACCTTAAAAGTGGACCTGTCATCAGATATATTTTCCATGTTGCTTGCAGCATGCTGAGGAATGTGCCAGTGAAAGCCCTCCAGGTATTGAATCCTGTAGCTACCTTGGACCTTGTCTCATGTAACTAGATTGGACCTTGCTCCCTCTTCCTACCTTGGACCTTGCATTCTGTAGCGACCTTGGACCTTGTCTCCTGTAGCTAGATTGGACCTTGAATCCTGTACCTGCCTTGGATTCCAAACCTTGGACCTTGCCTCCGGCAGCTACCTTGGACCTTGTCTCCTGTAGCTAGATTGGACCTTGAATCCTGTACCTGCCTTGGATTCCAAACCTTGGACCTTGCCTCCGGCAGCTACCTTGGACCTTGTCTCCTGTAGCTAGATTGGACCTTGAATCCTGTACCTGCCTTGGATTCCAAACCTTGGACCTTGCCTCCGGCAGCTACCTTGGACCTTGTCTCCTGTAGCTAGATTGGACCTTGAATCCTGTACCTGCCTTGGATTCCAAACCTTGGACCTTGCCTCCGGCAGCTACCTTGGACCTTGTCTCCTGTAGCTAGATTGGACCTTGAATCCTGTACCTGCCTTGGATTCCAAACCTTGGACCTTGCCTCCGGCAGCTACCTTGGACCTTGTCTCCTGTAGCTAGATTGGACCTTGAATCCTGTACCTGCCTTGGATTCCAAACCTTGGACCTTGCCTCCGGCAGCTACCTTGGACCTTGTCTCCTGTAGCTAGATTGGACCTTGAATCCTGTACCTGCCTTGGATTCCAAACCTTGGACCTTGCCTCCGGCAGCTACCTTGGACCTTGTCTCCTGTAGCTAGATTGGACCTTGAATCCTGTACCTGCCTTGGATTCCAAACCTTGGACCTTGCCTCCGGCAGCTACCTTGGACCTTGTCTCCTGTAGCTAGATTGGACCTTGAATCCTGTACCTGCCTTGGATTCCAAACCTTGGACCTTGCCTCCGGCAGCTACCTTGGACCTTGTCTCCTGTAGCTAGATTGGACCTTGAATCCTGTACCTGCCTTGGATTCCAAACCTTGGACCTTGCCTCCGGCAGCTACCTTGGACCTTGTCTCCTGTAGCTAGATTGGACCTTGAATCCTGTACCTGCCTTGGATTCCAAACCTTGGACCTTGCCTCCGGCAGCTACCTTGGACCTTGTCTCCTGTAGCTAGATTGGACCTTGAATCCTGTACCTGCCTTGGATTCCAAACCTTGGACCTTGCCTCCGGCAGCTACCTTGGACCTTGTCTCCTGTAGCTAGATTGGACCTTGAATCCTGTACCTGCCTTGGATTCCAAACCTTGGACCTTGCCTCCGGCAGCTACCTTGGACCTTGCTTCCTGTAGCTACCTTGGGCCTTGCCTCCTGTAGCTACCTTGGACCTTGC